TTGCGTCAGTTGGTATCTTAAGGGTCGTACACCATGCATTTCCTACACACCTGTAGTACCTATTGGTGTGGCATGGAACAACATCAAGCAGTGCTTTTTGATTGCTCTGTGTTTACTGAGTGAGTTTAGTTTCACGCCGCGCTCAGCAATATCTGTGTTTACTGAACTCTAAGCAATGTTTCGTGTGGTATCTATCGTAAACAAATTCAGCATTCCATCTTGAATGCAAGGTCAAGTACCGTTGAGTGTATTATTCAACAAGACGTGCAGTACTCTCTCTGCACTTGATGCCAACTGCCGTTTGATGTGGTAGGAAGGAGTTTGTTTATTTTCTAATTGCTTTATACCATGTACCGTTTGGTGTGGTTTTCAACAAGAGTGGTTCAATATTTCCGTTTTACGTCACGCCAACTAGCCTCTGATGTGGCGTATAACAAGAATAGGTTTGATATTCTCTGTTTACTCAACGCCAATTACCGTTCGGTTTGGTATATAACAAGATGGTACGTATTAATCTATATTTACTTCAACCCAAGTATCGTTTGCAAAGAATCCAAAAATAAGAGTAGTATTCTATCATTACTTATTTACTCCAAGAACCGTTTGCAGGAATTCTAACAAAATAAGGCTATTAGTGCTTTAAAAAATTGTTTAATTCCATGTCCAAAAAATGTAAATAGTTACATCAGTCTGTATGAAGGACTGTTGCCTGTCCGTTTATGTTTTGCTTCGCTTACATCTATGCACGATGATTTAGTGTTGCATCGCTGTAATCATTGCTATTTCAACGCATTGCCCTTGAGCCAATGATAATTGCAATGCGTCGGTAGTTCGATCAATCATTATATCCCCTACCCTAGTATCAATAAATTAAAGTTTTCCTGTTAGTTGGTATGTGTAAACATGGCTCTATCAACCCAGAACAGCTTTGAGCATCCCTTTAGCTATTGGTAATTAACAAGCATAGTTGTTTTTCGGCTGGAGACCGCAAGAGCCCTTAAAGAGCAGCCACTGCCGCTGATGTTGCAGCTGAGGACTGAATGTCGTTCGGTTTTCTCGATGGATCAGCTGAGCTTATTTCCTGTTATTAGCGTTTTGGAAAAGAGAAATCAGTGTGATCACTCGAGAAGCTACTATAACCGCCAAACCGAAGCAGTGAAATCAACACAATAGAGTGTGCTTAGGTCATGTCAGATGAGGTGAGGTCACCATGAACTTATGGATTGTAGCGTCGTTTTCTCATTTTGAGGTGCGATACGTCAGGGAGAGATTTATGCAGAGTTACGTCCCTTAGTCTTGGTAGGATCCGCTGATCATGGGTTCGAATCCTTGATCCCAGTTTTGACTGGTCGAGGGTGTCCCCATATTTGTAAACGCCAATGACTTGTGTCACTGTTTGACTTCCTTCCTACAGGCCAACGCAGATATTTAATTGAATTAACGTGTTACCATCCAAACCACTTAGTATACTATTATGCTGTTCCCATTGTGTGTAGTTTTAGCTTCGTAAATGTGTCATGAGGTATTATTTAATAGAGATGATGTAGAGCCATGCGAGCCATGTGTATTGTCACATGTAATCGACTGATAAACTGCCGAGCTAGAGGGATGCATGTACTATTTGTTTGAAGGTGGCTGAAATTGAAATGATCAGAAATGGCTATTCGATGGTGATGTATTCGATACGCCTATCACGGACGAAATTATCATAACAAGGATGGTCTAACGGTATCTCTTCAGCCTAGGAATAATTGTCTGGTCACATCCAAGTTAGGATATTTTCCATTGCCCCATAGACACAAGACACTGTTGTTAGCGCAGTGGGGAAGGGGTGTGTGTGTACGCATGCGTGGGTATCCGTGTGTGTGTGTGTGTGTGTGTGTGTGTGTGTGAATAGGACTGGCACCAGTAGTCATTTGGATTTGAAAAAGTGGTAAAATTCCTACAACTTTGAGTTCTTTCCTCCTTTCCGCTGGAACATTGTTCAAAGCTGCGATCGGACCCTCAGCACTCACTCACAGAGTGTTGTCTGATATTTCCCGCAATTCTGCACATGTTTTATGGATGCAAAAGGATTAAAAGTTTGTTATGAAAAGTGAAAACCTTGTAGCAAAACAATTCGGGGAATTAGACTGAAATGGATATGTTTGATGAAAATCACTTACCGGATATATTATTAACGGCTGTGAACTTATAACTGCGTTATTGAATTCACTTAACATGAACCTAAATAAAAAATGAAGTCTATTTGCTTCAGGTATAATATCCTGCTATCCGAAATATTCACTGCAACAAATTAGTATATAGCTGTAGTTTCTTATGATTAAGTTATGATGTGCAGATACATAAATCTATTGAAGATATTGATAACAGTCGGGGCTGAGAGAAAGAAGTAATATATGCAAGCACTTGTAAATGCTGTGCATTGGACATATTAATATATGGAATTGCAGTATGAATTTTCGAGCGGAACACGACAACGAGCAAAATTTCAACGGTTAATCTTGACATGTCGTCGTATCCAAATTGCGTAGATCGATGCTCGTACTGTTAATCACTGGATTGTCTGGTCCAGACTCGATTATATTTACAGACCGCCGCTATATAGCTGGAATATTGCTGATTGCGACGTTAAACAACAAACCAACCAACAAACCAACCCACCAACATATCGCCTTCATGTTAATACATGCCTAGATTTAATGATCTTCGTGCAGGCAACCATGAACACACGTACAAACTCAATATTTGCCGTCGTTAATAGATATTGTGTTAATTCAAATCAACTATTATGACCAGAGTGAATACTGACTCGCACATCGAATCCTGTCATCAAAGGAACACCTTGTCATTTGGTCACCAGTGCTCCAGTTCTTCTAAAATCCCAACTGGAGGCGTTTGTTCAAATTCATCCATATAGATATCGTTAATCGAGCATTTGGCTGTCAGATAAATTGCGAACGTGAAAATCTAAAGTGTTTAACTAATACAGGTGATTGTGATGAAGCATGCCACTCGTCGGATGTACATTTCAGTTTGCTGAGGGCCATTAAACATATTCAATAGCGAGAGATAACGCATCAGTTGTAATTACATTTTTCCAACCGATTGAGCAATAATTCATTTTTTATCACGAGGAAAACGATTGTGAATGTCGTCCACGATAGTTAATGGACTAGGTATGGCACGATTGTCGTCATGTATTCACAAGAAAATAGTTCATTGGTCCTTATTTGTAAAAAGACACTTATTAATGTTTTTATAATTTAAAATGATTTAAGAAGATAGTACTTGTACCTTTGAAGATCCATTATCAGTCTTGATTGTCCTCTGAACAGGTTTATACATGCATTAAAAATATCAAACACCTGACTTACACATGAAAGTCATGTTGTATTTTATTGTGAGGAACCGGGTTTGTTACAAATATATATACACTAACATGGCATTTCTGTTGTTTTGAAAATATCAAGGTATAGTTTATATCTATGGATTGGATTCTGGTAGTTCTTCGCCTGAGTTCCAATTATGTCATCTGGAATATGATCTGGTCCGCGAGTCATAATCAGCGATTCTGCCCCGGGAATAAAGAAACCAACATTTTCCACCCAAATTGTTATTACCATGTTAGTCCCACCTCTGGCGCTTACATAGTGTCATCTACAGCACTGCCCCACTTAGTGTCGAGTGTACAGCTCCGCATTAAATACCTAATCCTTTGACTAACCCCGGAGATATTACTGGTGCTCGACAGCTAAAGCAGATAAGGACAGTCTGGGGAACATTAAAGACTGGTTTAAGCGCGAAGCCTTGACCAATGAACAGTGCCTAATTGTGTCCATCAGGTGGCCGGACAACTTCACATCGATCCAGGTCCACTGCTTGTCCAGGAACCACCCTACAAGGCCGGACACCCATTTGAAACAATAATATGATTTTCACTGCTTTTACACCGGGCCTAACTTATTTAGCCCCTTTCTCATTTTGTCATTTACTGACGCGTCCAGTCCCTGGCTGCCCATAAAAGAGGCCTGAAAGCGGTGTTTGCACCCTCTGTATAAAATGTTTACTTTGCGCTTATTTTCCCCGCATTAATTGAATGTAGTGAGCACGTTGGGATGGGAGGAAGGCTGATAACAAAAGCCAATCTTTGCCAGGTTTTCAGCCATATCCTCAGGGTGGTGTTATAGGTTGGTGATGGTTTCTAACGAACGATGTCTTTTGTACTGGCGTTTTGTTATGTATTTCCGCGATATTGCAACATCGTGAGAATGAATTAGATGTATAGAAATGGAAAGGCATCTTCTTCGTGTGCGTTATCGCATTATGAAAGGTTCAACTGTGTGATAATTCTAGTTCCTTGTATACAGTGTCCGGAAAGAACTTTACAAGGGTTATCTACAATTGCCTGACGCTGTGTGCTCAGGACAAGCATCAACTTTTCTTGATGCAAAATATATTTGAACCATATTTCACGCGACTAATTGCAATTATAGTCAACGTCAGGCACAGCTGTGTCGGTCATTTGGGAAATATGGCCAGTACATTCCATTGTAACAGAACAGTATCATACATATATTTAATCCTCTTGTGGATTTATTAGATCTCTTCCTACTGGTTACATCCAGAATTCACAGTATGATAAGAAACACTACCCTTGATAGTGAATAAGATATAAGTAACAACACGCCGGTTTATTGCTTTTTGTATATCAGTGCGGACTTCGGCAACGAATGATATGTAATTTCCTTTGATACCTTTGCCATATCAAAAATTAGATGCGGATGTAATTTAAACCGTGGCTTACTAAGACAGACCTAATTGTGTTGATGTTGGTGCTTCCAATAAAAGCCACCGTCTCTCCGATAGTGTCGTTTGTCACGAGTGTTGCGAAAGAACATCATGTATGCTTTACGTTGCAATGAGTGATGTTCATATCGTCTGTAAATTAGTCATGAATGATATTTATAGTGTACTAAACTATTTCTGTTTCATTTCAGAATGATTGTGTAGTGTACCTGCTGGGACCAAACAAGAAACATCATGTCTAGAGGTCAGGCTGAGCTAGAGATTGAACTCTTGGAGCTGACAACAGTCACCCCGTCCAACGTCAGTCAGAATGCTTCCTGTATGGGAGTTGGTTGCAACAATACCGGATTATCACCTATGTACGAATTTGAAAGACTGGTTAGCATCATCGTACCAACTATATTTGGGGTAGTATTCATCCTGGGACTAATTGGAAACCTCATGGTCATCCTCGTGGTCGTGTCCGACAAAAAAATGAGGAATACAACCAATATCCTCATCCTCAGTTTGGCTTTTGCTGATCTCTTCTTCATCATCTTCTGTGTGCCATTTACAGCAGCAGGATATGCCTTGCCTGTCTGGCCATTTGGAAACGCGTGGTGCAAGCTGACACAGTTCATGGCTTACGTTTGTGCCACCGCAAGCGTCTACACTCTTGTCCTCATGTCTCTTGATAGGTACCTAGCAGTAGTCCATGCCATCAGGTCAATGCGATACAGGACCGAGAGGAACACGTGGCTGGCCGTTGTAGTAACTTGGGGAGGGATTCTCTTAGGCAACATTCCAATCCTGTTCCAGTATGGTGAATTGGCTTACCAACACGATTTTGAAAACAGATCCGCCTGCCTCAACGTGGCAAGTGTAAAGGATCCTCAAGTTGGCATGATCTTCTTTTCCTGCTTCCTTGCCTTCGGATACGCGATTCCTCTCGGCGCAGTCTGTCTCATGTATGGCCTTATGCTTAAGCGACTTCTGTATGGGGTTGTTCCTGGTGGCAACCAATCTGCGGAGAGTATCCGGGCTAAGAAGCGAGTTACTAGAATGGTCATTATCGTTGTTGTCTCTTTCGCACTCTGTTGGCTACCAATTCAGATTATTCTTATAATCCGTGCATTTGGCCATTACCCACACGACATGGGGTTCGTTGGACTACAAATGGCTGCCAACTGTCTGGCCTATATGAACAGCTGTGTAAACCCATTTCTTTACGCATTTTTGTCTGAAAACTTTAAAAGGAGTTTTCGAAAGTTTATCTGTTGTTTCTCGGTAACGCGGCTTATGGATTACGAAAGGACAAACATCCGCAGTGAAAAGGATTCCAAAAGCACGTGTATCACAAGGACAACTTTGAATAACGTGTGACAATACATAGCTGGATGTGACTTCTATATGCAACTCAGACATACGTATGACTTCATACGTAGGTCTGTGTACCTGTTAAATTTCATGCAAAAGTCCGGATAAAAATATTATCTTGTGTCTAAAACTGCTTCAGACACGCGCGTGAACGCTGCGAGTGTCAAACTTAAGATTCGCCGTCCATTCATAGCTGCTTATCGCTGATGCAGCTCGTTGATGTTATACACCTAAAGTACCATGTGACTGACACGTGACCACATTCACGTGATAAACATGTGACTAGATCACGTGATGGGACAGATCAGTGTCGATAGAACACGATAACTTCAGTGAGACAACTGCATATTCTGTCTATCCCTCTAAAGACTTCACGTATTTGCGACTGGTCATATATGATTGTACTTGTACTATGGTATGTCTTTCATTTTTTGCAGTGGGATATTTAAATGTTTAGTGATTCATGTGGCAATGGTGAGTCAACACTGGGCTGTTTTTCACAGTGTGTTTCGGGTATATACACTATTATTGTTCTGGGACCATTCGTACAACTGATTGACACTGAGCGCCCAAACTGACCCCTTTTAGCGCTTCGTGGCATTCAGATGTGCAGTGATCTCTGATCAGTTTGTTATTAAGCAGAGACGTTATGCAGTGTAGACGATTAATATGTATTCATGAAAATAAAAGGATGTGTGATTTATTGCGTATAATGTCCTGTGCCCGGTAAATTATGTAAAGTCGTATTTGCTCTACGCCTATATTGTATTCATAACCAGAACTGCAATTTATTTGTAAACAGATCATCATTATAGAGCAGTCTTGTTATACTTGTTCGCTTTTATAGTTTGTAGAGTCACATACTAACATTTGTCCCATCATCCTTGGTATATTCCGTGGACATATGTAAATGATTGTATATTTTAATTGATCGGACGTACCTGCCGTCTTATTGTTTTGATTCCAAAAATTGTAGAAATATATTTTCATCACAAAATTGTGTTCTTCTCAAGTTGCAACTTTGGGCTTATTGTTGTTTGGAAATAAAACTAAAGATTTTTCTCGATGAGTTGTTATTATGTAGCATTACTACAGTCCAGCCAACAGCCTTTGGTGTGTTGAGTGAAAACTATAAGTCACAAATTCATTTCCATGTTAGAAATTTCTCCAAAAGCATATTCCATTGTGCTATTTATGCGTGTATGAATCATCTTCAAATAGCAATAACACTAGATGTTCGCGAAAGGTGAGCGTATCTTGCCCGTCTGCTTGAAACCGTCACAAGTGCACTGAAAGCCAGATCACCTGTTCTCCTGAGAAAACATGAACATATGGTAGAAGTCAACACGAAATCAGAAATAATTTTGTCATCGATGCGTGAAAAAGTGAATATGTCCTCCTCATGTCTACCACAGATACACTTAAAGCTTCACTGAAGCTTGGATGTTGTAGCCAACTTTGGAATGCTGGTTCAGCACGAGCTGTAAGAAATCTTTATTGAATTTTCGAATGTACCTCACACGTTCCCTTGTTACAGAAAAAGCAAACCGAATTACAAACCCACGATTGGTACCCGTTGGGATGCCTACTTCTTACTTAAGGAACTTCCCCAAACTGAGGATATCCTACACTTCACAACATGCATATATGTTCGCACTAAACTACAGTTGATATTTGTTTTCTTTATTGACAAACTGTTCTGAACCTAGATTTAAGTGGTCACGGCAATGAAGGTGGCATTCTGTTAGATCATCAAATGTCATGACGTAACTGTAGTGAGATTATTTGTACGGGTTTGAGATTTTGCTTGAATTCCACTTGTCTTAAGTACATGCACTTTTTGGCCTTTCTTCCATTGCTTGCATTCTAAGTTACAGTTAACCTTTGAGAAAGGGATCTGATGGTGCATTTACTGGACCAAGCAAAATATCTTGTTTTGGTTTTTGAATCATATGCAGGTACGCTTGCTGGTTTTGGCGACAAACCACAAATTGATAGTGCACGTTTTATCTGACTTCTTGATCAATTAACAATGGCCTCATTGTAGGATGATAAGCCACATACACGATTTGTGTTGTTTCGCAACTTTGCCTTACATGAAAATTGGACACCAAGTCCGTCCTTCTTTCATCCACCCACAATCTCTCGATGCCTCGCTTCATTTCTGTAAACTTCTATGTTCGAATATTCACTGCGGTCTTCAGGAAGATGTACATTCTTGCATTTAGTGACTGACGAAATGAATAGAAGTGACACAGATTGACTACGTTCATGTTCAAGTCATTAATCACAAAACAAAAGGTAACTAAACGTTAATCTAAACGATGGAGAATAAGCGCGCCCTAAGTGGTAATGCCCATGTCGATTTGTCAGACGTAGCCATGCCGCAGACAGTTAAGACAAATAACAGCAGAATGATTCAGATATGTGTCACAAATAGGTTAATTGTTACAGGTAACACGAACCTTGAGTATACGTAATGCAATTGCTGGTTCAGCCTTGGATACTAAGTTGATTTGATATGTATCAGGTGTTTAATGGTAATGCTGTTCCAGAGTCTCATAATATGTTATTCAACTTACCTAGTTTAACGTCGTTTTCTAAAATGCCACAAGTCGAAACTCCTCTTAAAAGGTATTGCGTTACCACGATCTCGGCGCGCACTCCTACTCGTGTGAATAAACGCGAGAAAACATCTGTCTACAGACAAAGAAAATCGCTTGTACCAGCAGAGTCGACTGGGCTATTTCGACGGATGTGTTTAGCCATCACTATTAACTAGTGATGATACAAGGTGTTCGCCACAGGGGCCGCGTATCCTATCCTATTCCATCCCATCACTGGTACCTGTCTCAAACACGTTCAATGGCAAGTCAGTTGTTTACTTGACGAAAGAACGGGAACACGACATCATTGGTCGCTGATGAGTCAAATTAGGAAATGTTAACGTACATACCGTGAATACAATGATGCATCAGATTGCAGGACCCATGCTAAACATTCGGATACATTTTTGCCGTCATGAGAAACAAAGATGGACACAACGGTTGTTTGAAGCAAGCACTGTCACACAGAGTCTGTCCCGCCCTAATCTGGAGGTTATTCTATAATGCCACAGTGTCTGTCGATGTGTTTGCCCCTGTCACGTTGCCAAAGGCAAAGTCTCCGTGATTTCAAGATGGATACGAATGAAACAAATATCCAGAAAGTATGTATTTGTCTAAATCTACCATGCATGTTTGTTCGATGGACCTTTAATCTGAGTCTTCAGGATTAAGATGTTGCTGTTGTCACCCTTTTTAACTTTCAGAACAAACTTGAACCACCTGCCTGTAATCCTTACAGAATAGATAGGATGCAAATGAGGGGTGTTCATTGTATTTCGTGCGTAAGTCTAGAGTGCATTTTGTATTTATGTACATTGATTAAACGCTTAAATAGCATTGTACAATCGAGCCTGGTAGTATCGCTGATATCTCTATGGTTGGTGTACGTATATGCATTTGATATACTGTGCAAACTGACATAAGAACATATCGACTATCTACTGCATATGCATACAATAGTACTATTTGTTTTATAGTATTACACTTGAGGAGCACAAAGCTTATAATGATTTATAGATATTGTCGAAACGTTTTTCCAATTTTTAATGCATTGCTAAAATGTAATATTATTTCTGAATAACCTTTTGATCACTGGATCATAAAATTGGATAATACAATACACATGTTTCATTTAACATATCACATTGTTCAAATACTCCATACTTTGGCTGTCCGATCCTATCATATCGAATGTTTATAAGAAATTTAATTATGTCCGTATGATTTTACGTCGCTTTTAGTTCAACGGCGGAAAGAGCACAAATTAGCTCTAAGCGTTATACTCGTTTGGGGAATCGAACCGGTCCTTCGTGTGACGACAGAACGCTTTAATCACAAAGGTATCTCGCAGCCCCCTTAAGACAGCGTAACATCTCAAATACATTTAACATATAACAAAAATCAATTTTGCTTGTGACTCTTGGAATATTCCCTTAAAGTTATTTTACAACCAGTTCGAAAAGCGTGTTTATTTCACTATATTATCATTATTCATATAAGGATTTTGAATAATTCATTTTCTCAGCAATGAATTGTATTCACATGAAACGAACCATACAAAGATTTCTATGTTACGGCTTCTATTAAATTTATTACATTTCTAAAACGAGATTAAGTCCTGGAAAAGGAAAATACCAATGTAAACATTAGATTCAAATGTCACATAGCGGAGTTTTGATTGCCATATGCTGTCAAAGAATTAATTTGAACGATACGGAGATCACACTGATTACAAAAGCAATACATCTTTTCAGTAGGAACACGAGATCTCCCTTAAATCAAAATTAGTTATTGATGCGTTGTATGTTTTTCATTAAAGTATTCATCAATTCTATTGTGACTGACGTGTTCTCTATTAACAACATTAATTTTCTACCCTTAAAAATCAGACCTGTTGAAATGTCCTTTCCTATTGAAAAACAGGAATTGGTTAGAATAAAGTGCATTTGCATGTCTCGCTATTTCATTCGTACCATATCATCCTGCAAAAAATCTTTAATCGGTCGACATCGCAAATAGAACGCAAGTTTGGTCGTCATTTCTTTAAACAGTGCAGCTGCCAACAAACATATTTACTGGAAGACATGTCCAAAGACTTTAATTTTATTTCAATATACGTGTATCTAAACAGTGTTTTATAATAGGTCTATTTCGATCAGCATGTTCAACACTGCCTGCTAAAAGCATTAATTCGTCCACTGTAATTCTGCTATGAAACAAACCACCAAACGAACCTTTTAGTTTACATGTCCAATGTTCCTGATTTCCATGCTGTTGACTGTCAATTACAGGTTATAGCTACATGTACTTGTGTTGTATCGAAGAGCTATCGAAAACCGTTGACAAATAGCAGTTGACGATGTAACAATTTTCAGCACCTTTGGGCTGGTTTCGTGTATTCAATTCGACTCATAATAACCCCCTTTGGCGGTGTCTGACCAAAATTCCGAAAGTGGCAGTGATAAATTGGCTTATGCCCCAGCTTGCAGGATAAAGGTAACCGTATGTTTCCCTTGATTAAATAAGGATTATCGGGTGTGTTTTCCAAACTATGACCCCTTTCACACGGTAGTCAACCAACCGAAAGGCACAGACGTATTTTATCGGTTATAAAAACTATTTTTGTAAAATGCTTTATAGTATGCTAGGTTCAGATGCTGTTTATAATTAAAGAATTACTGGTAATCAGCTGAAATCATACCATACACATGACCTCCGAAATCTAGGGACAGTGTGGGATACATCTCATTCTTCCAGATGAACGAGATATTCAAATATACGATCTCAATCTAATTTCACTTGCCATTCTTGAATAGTCATAAGAGGCGACTAACGGGTTCGGGTGGTCAGGCTCGCCGACTTGGTTGACATATGTCATCGTATCCCAGTTGCGTATATCGAAGCTCATGCTGTTGATCATTGGATTGTTTGGTCCAGACTCGATATTTACAGACGGCCGCCATATAGCTGGAACATTGCTGAAACTAGACTCACTCACTCATTCTGGAATCGGTTGTAAGTTGGCATCCTCGATTCACTCCCATTATCGGCACCAACCCGTCCTGTGGGGGCGTACCAAAATGGCACAGATCCAAACCCAGGGCTACCTTAGGCTGACACGACATGACTTAATTGAAATGGCGTCAATTATTCTCGTAAAGCCAAAACCAAGCACTCTTACTCGAAACGAAACGAAACATAACAACGAAATAATAAAAACACGCATTGACATTTGACATATTTTGCAAGTCCGTGGCTATCAGTAATGCTACATTGCGTGGACAGTTTAAAAAGTTAAAAGTCACTGTTACCATCGAAAATATTGTGGACGTATCAAAAAAAAGGAAATCTCCAAAGAAATGGTAATTTGTTGATAACGACATTACGAAGCGTGGTAGGTCTCCAAAGCAGTCTCAAAATAGGCAGGTTATAACCTTAGGGAATCGATAGCTAAA